ATAAATAGTTATGTTTTTAAAAGAAAAAAAAAAACTACTCTTGCTATAAATAACACATTCAGTTGAACTAAACTATACATGCCTATTTAAATATATTTACACATGGCTTCAGTGTATAGGACGCAAGCAGATTTTGACATCAAATTTTGGGGTAAAAAAAGTGCGTCTTATACACCGAAAAATACGGTAATTTATAAGCTTGCACTTTCCGCCCCCTCTCCGAAAAAAATAGAGTGTTATTTGTATCTTCTTCTTGAGAAAAGTTTTGAGGAATGAAAGCAAAATACAATGATAGATATATAATATCATTAAGTGCAACCAACTATTTGTTATGAATTTTATAATTTAACCCCCACTGTATAGATACTAGTTACTTCATCATTAAGATATAGCGTGTGTGAACATTTCTTTAAGATTTCGTTCTTGTTTTCATATATTTAGCGATAAATTTAACCATTTGTAAATATATTAGTATAGCACTGCTAACAGTCTTTAAAATATCCAGTGTAACAACATATATAAGATAAATTACGATGTTTCACAATTACTATACAGTTTCAAAAGTACGTACAGATACATCTCCAAAACATCCAGTGTAACAACATATATAAGATAAATTACGATGTTTCACAATTACTATACAGTTTCAAAAGTACGTACAGATACATCTCCAAAACATCCAGTGTAACAACATATATAAGATAAATTACGATGTTTCACAGTTACTATACAGTTTCAAAAGTACGTACTGATACATCTCCAAAACATCCAGTGTAACAACATATACAAGATAAATTACGATGTTTCACAATTACTATACAGCTTACCAAGTATTAAAGCAAGTGCACACGCACAAACACACACATTTGCATTCATGCTTAAGCTGTTCATTAGTTGGTAAATGTTGTACAACATACCTGTGTGCTTCGCGAGTAAACGCTTTATGTTGATCATTCGAAGAATAGGAACAACTCAAGGCAAAGGATACACTCCCGAGACCTTTCTCAAAAGGACTTGTACCTACTTTTTCTAGAGTCCTTTCTAAAGCATTTACTGCTGCCAACACGTCGTCGGGCCTTAAAGTCATTGGTCTGAGCCGGAAAGCCAATAAACCGGACGGATAGGAACCAATGTCATTCTGTTCGAAGTTAACACTGTCTTCCAGTACAATCCAAATAAACTTGTTATTTAATAAGTTTAGTTTCTCAGCGATTCTGAGCACTCTTAAAGTCGTGACGTCATCACAATATAGGAGAATAACCCGGCTATAACCCTCTGTAATTTTGTCTAATTTGCCCAATATTTCATGCTCCTCTAAAGTTCTTTGAAGAGAAATAAATGTTAAAGGGCGCCATGGAGGTGTATTTAGGCGCTTTCGAAAGTAGCGAACAAGCATAGAGCCGATTTCTCCATCGTCTGCTACAAGTACAACGTCATACCAATCACAAAAAAGAAGAAACTCGAAAACCGCATCGGCCAAGTCCGTTACTGAAGGATCTAGAGAAATGTAGAAAGGGTTGACGTCCTGAAAAAAAAAGAAGAAAAAAGAAATCGAGATCAAGATATAATCTTTGTTCTGAAATAGTTATCTACATCCAAACACAATAAGAATATTAATGCTATGAAAATTCTTAATATTCTAAAGCGCAGAGTTTACTTTTATTTAGTAGGCTTGTGTTTTTGAATGTTCTTTTGTATGATACGTGTTGAATAATCTTCTTAGGAGATATCATTGGGATTAATTCGTTTAATCTTTTCGTCACTGAGTAGACCTGTTACTTGAAATTTGTTAGTAGGATTTGGTTGACAAAACGATATCTGATAGAAAACAAAACACTATGTTCACTGTTTAATCGTTTCATTAGCGCTTTTTCTTAAAAAGACGTTCAGGTCGATCGTTAGACAATGTTACTGCTCACAGAACTCCTGATCAGGAAAATGTTTGGTTGAGTCGTGGAAAAATACCATGAATGGCATCTGGTTTTCTCAGTTCAGATACTTATATTTTAACTACTAGAATGGCTTGGTGGTTAGGGCACTCAACTCGTAATCTTGGAACATGTTCGCTCTTTCATCTGGGGGAGCGTAATAATGTAATGGTCAATCCCACTATTCGTTGGTAAAAGTAGCCCAAGAGTTGGCGGTGGGGGAGAGGGGGAGTGTTGACTAGCGCTACCTTCACTGTAGCTTATCACTTCGCCGATTACTTCAACATTAGCGACGGTTAGCGAGTAATTTTGCGCGAAATCCATAAATAAATAAATAAATAAATTATTGGGTAGATGCTTACATAATATTTAAAATTATGGAATATACTGAGAATAATCGATAAACAAATAATCATAATTAATACACGTTTACGTCTTTGGTAAATCATAATGTATAAAAGTGACGAGTACAAAAGTTAGCTCCATTTCTTGACTTTTTCGCAGCAAAAGAGATTTCGCGATTTTTAATATAATAGAATAATAAAGATCTTATACACTCTAGCTGCCTTTGCTTTTCAAATTTTATTTCACATTTCACTGGTTCTGATATCAAGGCTTTTGCTGCTGACAAATCTTCTGCGCTCGTGCCTGCTCAACAAGGTCACATTGCATCACAAAATGAAACTTCTTGACGTGATATATGGTTCAAAAATCCCGTAATTAATCTACGCATACATATACAGATGTACCTTGAGTATAGTGTGGGTAATTTTAGATAAATATGAAGGTTATTTTGAAGAAGAGCTGCCTGTGATGCAACACGAAACTGGTTTAATAACCAACAATTTGTAGAAAAGAGATATGATTGGATGATATTTATAGACCTATATTCACCTTGAATTGTAGTTTACAGTAATAAATATATATTCACACACTTTAAAAACAATAAAATCCGATAATTACGAAAAAAATAAAGAAAGACAAAAGTAAACACTAATAGTTTTATTCAAGACACGTATCTTAGGAACGTTTGAAACCCGTGTTGGATCAACATTCGTTCTCCAGAGATGCATTAACTTTCAGAATAACAAACATTTTACCAAGAAACAGCTTCAATGCGTGAGCTAGCTGTAAGGTGTTTACATAGCCAGCGATGCTCGTTACAAACACATGGCTAGCTTTTAGTCCCATTATGTTTTTTTAGAGCTTGAAAGTGTGTAGAACATAGTTTCCTATCTTTAATTATGTTTCTTCGGTATGCGTGTTGAGCTTGAAAGTTAAAAGATACATGGAACGGAGAATGACAACGAGGAAGAAAACAACCAGCAAAAAGTAATCGATATCGACCGGAGAAAGACAGATGGCGGACAGCTACGAGGACGACGTGGATTTTGGCGTTCTACTTTTGGGTAAAATATAGTCGTTAAAGGAATTTACGAGGATTATATTGCGTTTGCTGGAATTCTAAACAAACAAGAAAATCACTTCGTATTTTGGCAGTGTGTTTAGTGACAACACTGTTGATGAGAAATGTTATTAGTTCTTAATATGAAAAATGCAGGAAAATAAATACTGAACACACTTTCAATACAGTAATAGTTACATATCTATTTAGCCTACACTTCGAGGTAATTTTTAATCTTAATTAATTATATTTACCATAAGGCCTATTTACCATAAGTATTAGGCCTATTATATTGTTTATTTAGCCACTTAGGGTTTTGCAAGGAGAAGAAAGGCCCATTATAATATTTCAACAACACCATGTCTCTCATATTCATTGCTGACGGTGCGTTTTCCTCAGTAGAGTG